GGTGTGGTGGTACGCACCTGTAGTCTCGGCTACTTGGGAGGCTGAGGCAGAAGAATCCCCTGAACCCAGGAGGCGGAGGTTGCAGTGAGCCAAGGTCATGCCACTGCACTCCAGCCTGGGCAACAGAGCGAGACTCCATCTCAAAAAAAAAAAAAAAAAATTACCCAGGTATGGTGGCACATGCCTGTAATCCCAGCTACTTGAGAAGCCGAGGCAGGAAAATCTCTTGAACTTGGGAGGCGGAGGTTGCAGCAAGCTGAGATCGTGCTATTGCACTCCAGCCTGGGCAACAAGAGCGAAACTCTGTCTCAGAAAAAAAAAATAGTATAGTGTGATAAGAGTACTTGGGTACAGGGTAGGTTTACACTAGATAACAGGAAAGGCTGTTAGACAAAGCTGTCATTTATGCCAAGACCGGAGATGTGGGAAGCAGCCAGCTTTACAAAGTGCTGGGGGAAAAGCATTCTAAGTAAGTACTGGGAACAACAGGTGCAAAAGGAGAATGATTTGGAGATGGAGCTTGGAGAGTTGAACAAAGGGCAGATTATGCAAAGTTCTGTAATGCCAAGTATATTAGTCAATAGACAATCAGGAAAAATCAGAAGGCCAGGTGCAGGGGCTCATGCCTGTAATTCCAGCACTTTGGGAAGCCGAGGCAGGCAGACCACTTCAGCCTAGGGGTTCAAGACCAGCCTAGCAACCATGGCGAAACTCCAACTCTATAAAAAATACAAAAAGTAGCTGGGTGTGGTGGCATACACCTGTGAGCTACTCAGGAGGCTGAGGTGGGAGAATCACTTGTGCCCAGGAGATGGAGGTTGCAGTGAACTGAGATTATGCTGCTGTTCCAGCCTGGGTGTCACAGTGAAACTCTGTCTAAAAAAAAAAAAAAAATCAGAAATTCTTCTAGGTATTTCAAGTAGACAATTTAATTTGAAGAATTGGTAACAAACATGTTGGAAGAAGTAGGGGAGCAAAAAGGACATGAGGTTATCCAAAGACTAGTATCTACAGGAAGTCACTATCAGCCCTAAGGCTGGAGGAACAAAATGGGAAATGGTGGTAATCCCTTCCAGTTCATTCAAGAGAACGTAGGAAATGTGGAGTGCAGTGGCGTGATCTCGGCTCACCGCAACCTCCGCCTCCCTGGTTCCAGCCATTCTCCTGCCTCAACCTCCTGAGTAGCTGGGATTACAGGCACGTGCCACCATATCCAGCTTATTTGTGTATTTTTAGTAGAGATGAGTTTTCACCGTGTTGGCCAGGCTGGTCTTGAACTCCTGAGCTCAGGTGATCTGCTGGCCTCGGCCTCCCAAAGTGCTGGGATTACAAGTGTGAGCCAACATGCCCGATCTAATTTTGTATTTTTAGTAGAGATGGGGTTTCTCCCTGTCAGGTCAGGCTGGTCTCAAACTCCCAACCTCAGATAATCCGCCTGCCCTGGTCTCCCAAAGTGCTGGGATTACAGGCATGAGCCACTGCACCTGGCCTATTGTGACCATTTTTAGAAAATGTAATTTGCCAAAGGCTTGCAGGTTAGAATTCATACTTCCATGGACTTCCATACAACCATCACAGGAGAACAAGGTCTAAGCTCTCCAAGGATGACAGGGCCAAAAACACATGCTCCTGTCTGTGCCCTGCCTTACCCTGTGGAGGAACCCTCCCGAAGACCCAAAAAGAGAAGTGATCTGAGGCCCAGAATGAGTCCTCAGAGAGTGCCCTGTAGAACACTCAGTGAATACATATCACATCTCTCTAGCAAGAGAGCTGCAAACTGTGCTGGGGTCCCATCTCATATGACACTGCATGATGAGGATAAGATATTTATTGAGTGCCTATTTGAGAGCAGGCATTTAAACATATTTTTGTTTTTCATTTAAGCCTCCAAAAGGAAATGTATAACTTTAAGTGCACATCTTAAAAAAGAAAAAATATTGAGAATTAATGAGCTAAGAATGTATCTTAATAAGTTCGGGGAAAAAAAAACACAGCAAATAAACTCAAAGTAGAGGGAAGGAAATGACAAAGTGGAGAACAGAAATTGAAGAAACAGAAAACTAACATGCAGCAGAGAGGATCGGCTAAGCCACAGGCCAATTGTGTGAAAATTGATAAGTCCCTGGTGATAATGACGAAGAGAAAGTTGAAAGAAAGCAAAAATATTCAAAGTCAGGAATGAAAAGAAGGGTATTGCTATGGATATTACAGGCATTAGAAGTAAAATGAGAGGATATTGTGAATAATTTTGTGCCAATAAAATTGAAGATACATTTGAAATAGACAAATTGCTTGAACATATAGCTTACCAAAACTGACTCACTTTGACACGGGAATCTGGATAATCCTATAACCATTAAAGAAATGAAATCAGAAGTCAACATGTTTCCATGAAGAAAACCTCAGCCTTCACTGGCATGTTCTGATCTTTTTGAGACAGTGTCTCCCTCTGTCATCCAGGCTGGAGTGCAGTGGCACCATCTTGGCTCACTGCAACCTCCACCTCCCAGGCTCAGCCTTCCAAGTAACTGGGACTATTAGGCACACCCCGCCATGCCTGACTTTGTAATTTTTGTTGAGATGGGATTTTGCCATGTTGCCTAGGCTGGTCTGGAACTCCCAAACTCAAGTGATCTGCCTGCCTCAGCCTCCTAAAGTGCTGGGATTACAGCTCTGAGCCACTGTACCCAGCCAGGTTCTAATTTTAAAACACCCCAGGAGAGTATTACAATTTCCTTCTTCAGATGAGGAAAGTGGGGCTCCAAGAATTCAAGCAACCTGTCTAAGGGCTCAGAGCTAGGAAATGTCAAAGCCAAGATTTTTTTTTTTTTTTTTTTTTTGAGATGGAGTTTCGCTCTTGTTACCCAGGCTGGAGTGCAATGGCGTGATCTCGGCTCACCGCAACCTCCGCCTCCTGGGTTCAGGCAATTCTCCTGCCTCAGCTTCCTGAGTAGCTGGGACTACAGGCACGCGCCACCATGCCCAGCTAATGTTTTGTATTTTTTAGTAGAGACGGGGTTTCACCATGTTGACCAGGATGGTCTCGATCTCTTGACCTTGTGATCCACCTGCCTCGGCCTCCCAAAGTGCTGGGATTACAGGCTTGAGCCACTGTGCCCGGCTTTTTTGAGAGAGGGTCTGGCTCTATCACCTAGGCTGGAGTACAGTGGCATGATCTCAGCTCACTGCAACCTATACTTCCCAGGCTCAAGTGATCCTCCTACCTCAGCCTCCCAAGTTGCTAGGACCACAGGCACGTACCACCATGCCCAGCTAATTTTTGTATTTTTTGTAGAGACGGGGTTTCATCATGTTGGCCAGGCTGGTCTCAAACTCCTGAGTTCGAGTGATCTGCTTGCTTCAGCCTCCCGAAGTGCTGGAATTACAGGAGTGAGGCATCACACCCAGCCTGAAGTCAAGATTTGAACCCGGGTTGACCTGGCTCCAAAGCCAGAAAGCTCAGCCATTATACTCCTCAGCCTCTTCTTCAAATGCTATAGCCAGTAGCATAGATGTGAGGGTGAAGGACAAGGCTGTGGTCCAGAAGCCCCAGGGACAAGTATCTGATATGTCCACTTGGAGAAGAAGGAACCTGGAGATTATCACCAGGACCCCACTCTGCCATCCATCAAGACCTATTCAAATGCTGCCACTGCTTCTCTGTAAAGCACCATACACCCTGCCTGGAGCTCCCATAGCTGCCCTAGCCCCCATCACCTTTAAATGCCCATAGCACTATCTCTGGGCCTCTTCTATATATTGTCTGGTGTGTAACATTCTCACCAAAGTTTTCCAAACTTAGAAATGCATGACTCCCTGAAAATACAGGACTCCCTGAAAATACAGGTCTCGGTTTGAGAAAGCTGGACTGAAAAATTAAATGCTAGGCTGGGCATGGTGGTTTTCATGTAATCCTAGCACTTTGGGAGGCAAATGGGGGAGGATCGCTTGAGCCCAGAAGTTCGAGACCAGTCTGGTAAACATAGGGAGACCTTGTCTCTAAAAAAAAAGTTAAATGCTGGCACTGCGGCAGATCACTGGGTCTCTGAAAACTGTAAGGCAACTACCACCGTCTTCTAGACCAGGGGTCTCCAACCTGGGCTGAGGACTGATATCAGTCCCTGGCCTATTCGAAAGTGGGCTGCACAGCAGGAGGTGAGCGGTGGGTGAGCAAGCATTACCGCCTGAGCTCTGCCTCCTGTCAGACCATGGTGGCATTCGATTTTTTTCTTTTCTTTTTTTTTTTTTGAAACAGAGTTTTGCTCTGTCGCCCAGGCTGGAATGCAGTGGTGCACGATCTCGGCTCACTGTAACCTCCACCTCCCAGATTCAAGCAATTCTCCTGCCTCAGACTCCCGAGCAGCTGGGATCACAGGCACCCACCATCACACCTGGCTAATTTTTTGTATTTTTAGTAGAGATAGGGTTTTACGATGTTGGCCAGGCTGGTCTAGAACTCCTGATCTCGTGATCCGCCTGCCTTGGCCTCCCAAAGTGCAGTTATTACTGGCGTGACCCACCACTCCTGACCAGCAGTAGACTCTCTGAGGAGCGCAAGGTCTGTTGTGAACTGCACACACGAGGGATGTAGGTTATGTGCTCCTTATGAGACTAACGCCTGAGGACAGTTTCATCCCAAAACCATCCCCTCCTTCTGTGGAAAAATTGTCTTCCACGAAACCAGTCCCTGATGCCAAAAAAGTTGGGGACCGCTGTTCTAGACCACCCAGAATATGTTCTTGCTAAAAGTTATTTTAAGATTTTCACTAAAATAAAAACTAAAAATTTAAATATTCTCATGGTAAAATTTGTGGTCCCTGAAGATAGATTTTATAACAAGTATGAACTGCTCTACAACATAACGTAGCATTTCATTCTCTCTTGAAATCAAAATTAAATCCAGTTTAAGTTCTGTGGAATGCTAGATTTTGCTTCCATCTCTTCACCCCACCCTGGAAAATAGGTTTATCCATCCACATTCTTTACCTGGTAACTTTGAGCAGGGTGGATTTCTCCATACCTTGCTTCGGCTCAGCCACGTGACTTGCCATCTCCAGCAGTATTTTAGCAGATGTGATGTGAGCAGAGGTTGAAAATAGGCGTGCACATTGGGACTGTCGCTGGGGTGCTTCTGCCGTCTCCATGAACACCCCCTGGCTGGCCTGCTGGTCATGAAAGGAGGATGAGAGAGATGTAGAGAGGTGCCAAACCATGCCAGCCAAAGCTAGCCTATAGCAACAAACCCCCAGCTGGTCCCCAAACATACGCACTAAATAAACGCTTACTGTTGTATGCTGCTAAAATTTTGTGATTGTTCTACAGCACTAATTACTGGGGCCATGGTTAACTGATACAAGCCCCTTCTTGCCGAGATTACCAGGTCCTTCAGTACTGGCCCTTGGCTGTGGCCAGTTGCCACAGCTAATATGTCCGGCCTGGCTGTGAAGCATATCTGCAGTTGGGGGGTGCAGCCCCATCTCCTCTGTGACAAGTCCAGCCATGGTGTCCTTTGAGAACAAAGGATCCCAAAACGATAGCCCTAATTTATGCTCAGCCCTCATAGGCATACATGGCCCTGAGGGAAACCTGATTGCCTGGGTTTGATTCTTTGATCCATAGACTTAGGAAGTTCATTTAATCTTGCTTTGCCTTATCTGTCAAATGGAAACAATAATAGTACCTACTTCACAGGGTTCTTGTGAGAAATAAGTGAATACGTACTATGTGCTTAACTCAGTGCCTGCTGGCGCATGGTAAGTACACACTAAATACTGGCTATTATTGTTATCACACATTTGGTCATCCAAATAGTCTTCCTCCTAGGTCCTCCCAGCTCAGAAGATGCATCCTCATGAGTGCAGGTTTCTGCCATCAATGGAATTCATACCTTCATTCGCTTTCTAGTCTTGAGCGTTCCAATTAACCCTCTTGAGTTGAGACCATCCTGCTTTAATATGAAAAGCATTAAGCCTTCCATCCTAATTTTTGTTTAAAAAATCTGTTTGGGCTGGGTGTGGTGACTCATGCCTGTAATCCCAGCACTTTGGGAGGCCGAGGCGGGTGGGTCACGAGGTCAGGAGTTTGAGACCAGCCTGGCCAACATGGTGAAACGCTGCCTCTACCAGAAATACAAAAATTAGCTGGGTGTGGTGGTGCACCCCTATAATCCTAGCTACGGGGAGGCTGAGGCAGGAGAATGGCTTGAACTCAGGAGGCAGAGGTTGCAGTGATACAAGACCATGCCACTGCACTCTAGCCTGGGAGACAGAGCAAGACTCTGTCTCAAAAAAATAGAAAGTCTGTTTGGAAGTTGTATTCTGGGTATCCTGCTGCTTGCAGCTTCTCTTTTTTACTCTGAGCTACACCAACCCTCATGGGGGTCAAGAAAGTCCACACTTCAAGGACATAAAGTCTGGCTCTCTACTGCCCCTCACTCCAGGGATGAAATGCCTTTCACTCTTTTAAGGTGAGCCTGCAGCTGAGAAAAACTAGACTTGGTTATTTTCTCTGTAGGTCATTCTGCTACATCTAATTCTCAATAAATTTTCACCATGAGACTGAATTCCTCGGCTATGTTTTATTCGGTGTGTCCCTCCAGCACCCAGGACGGAACCCACACTTAGTAGGTGCTTGATAAATGTTGGGTAAATGAATGAATGAAGAATATGGATCACAGGGTGGGAACAATTTTCAAACTAGGGGTGAAGAAATCCACATGACTATTGACTATGTGCCCAGCCTCATGCTTGACACTGAGGTCCAAGAAAGAAAAGTAACAAGGCACTTGGAGCTTATAGTCAAGTCCTCAAAGACTAAAGTCTACAAAGGAAACGGAGCTCAACCACACAGATCACTTGCCCTGCCTATCCCACATCAGAGGGAACCCAGTGAGGTGTTGGTTCAGAAGAGGCAGGATGGGGCCTGAGGTCTGAATGCATGGGAGGGGCTGGGGCAGAGGGTGCGGGGGGCCCAGCTTACCCTGAGATAAGGTGTCCCAGAACACCAAGAGCAAGGGCACAGCACAAGAATGAGATAGCTATTTATAGAAAATAACCATGACACCAGCCTGAGCCATTTGTGATAAGGAGTCATGGGGGTAAACTTAGCTATTTCAGGCTGTGGCCTGAGTGTTGAGACCTGGCGGTTAGGCTGGGAGTGGATCCTGGCAAGACAGGCCACAGAGACGGGGCCCCGAGGTGGGGAGTGACATGCATCCACTAGCAGCAGGGCTTTCTTCTCTCTCATTCTGGGACCAGGTGAGAGTTGAATCCCTGCCAGAGACTCCAGATATGAGCCCACCACAGGGTACATCCCTCTGCTCCTCTAAGAGGGTGAAATGTATATGGGTGAGGAGGCTTTGGTTGCCAGCAACAGAAAAACTCTAGCTAATGTAAGCAAAAAAATGATTGTATTAGAAAGAAATGAGGGTGGCTCACAGAATCAAAGAAAATGCTAAAGAGGATGTCCCAGAAACAGGAAGAAGCAGGACAGTGAAATGAAAGGCTAAGGAGCAATCCCTTTATGGTGCCGCATTGGGGATACATTAACTCCTTTTCCTTACTTCCTTCTTTTCTCTCTTCCTTCCTCCTTTCCTTCCTTTCTTTCTCTTTCTTCCTTCCTTTCTTTCTCTTTCTTTCCTTCCTTCTTTCTATTCCTCCTTTCCTTCTTTCCTCTCTTTCTCTTTCCTTCCTTTTTTCTAGCTTCTGTGACTCTAGCCAAAGATCTTTCTCTTTCTTTCTTTTGCTTTTCTTTTTCTTTCTTTCTTTCTTTTCTTCCTTCCTTCCTTTCTCTTTCTTTTTCTTACTTCTTTATCTCTTTCTTTCTTTCTTTCTTTCTCTGGAGACTGGTCTTGCCATGTTGCCCAGGCTGTTTCTGAACTCTAGGTCTCAAGCAATCCTCCAGCCTAGGCTTTCCAAAGTGCTGAGATTACTGGTGTGAGCCTCTACACTGGGTCTCATTTTCATGTCATTCAATTTCAGATTCAAGGAGGTAGCCAGGCACAGTGGCTTATGTCTGTAATGCCAGCACTTTGGGAGGCTGAGGCAAGAGTATCCCTTGAGTCCAGGAGTTTGAGATGGCCTGGGCAAGAGAGTAAGAGCCCATCTCTATTTTATTTATTAATTTATTAATTAATTAATTTATTTATTTATTTATTTTTATTTTATTTTATTTTTTTGAGACAGAGTTTCGCTCTTGTTACCCAGGCTGGAGTGCAATGGCGCGATCTCGGCTCACCGCAACCTCCGCCTCCTGGGCTCAGGCAATTCTCCTGCCTCAGCCTCCTGAGTAGCTGGGATTACAGGCACGCACCACCACGCCCAGCTAGTTTTTTGTATTTTTAGTAGAGACGGGGTTTCACCATGTTGACCAGGATGGTCTCGATCTCTCGACCTCGTGATCCACCCGCCTTGGCCTCCCAAAGTGCTGGGATTACAGACATGAGCAACCACATCTGGCCCCATCTCTATTTAAAAAAAAAAAAAAAAATTCAAGGACGAGAGAATATCTGATTGGCCGACCTTGGGTCACATGCCAATCCCTTGGCCAGGGAATGGAGGCGGCCTTCATTAATAGTCCACCAAGATTATACCAGCTGAAGCAGTTCCCCCAAGCCAAATGTCCAAAGCTGTTGCCAGGAGAAATGGATAATGGGCAGGCCAAAACAGTGGCTCTCTATTAGAAGACATGTACCCTGGGAAAACCTAGCACCCAGTTGGTGCTGGGGGCTGGGAAGGCGGGGAGGATGGAGCAGTTACCTGAACCGATAGGTGTACCCTTGTGACTGGATCCCAAGGCCTCAGAGCCCAGAGTCCACTTCAAGTTCCTCCCTCAGGGGCCTTCAGGACTGTTAGGGTGAGATGTGATCTGGTGTGGAAGAAGGGGCTATTAAGGTTCTAGGTGGCTGCAATGAGCCAAAATCAAGCCATCGTACTCCAGACTGGGCAACAGAGCGAGACTGTTTCAAAAAAAAAAAAGGTTCTAGGTGGGAACCCTAGGCCAGTGTTGAGAAGTGAACTCATGGAAATTAATAATAGTTCCAGCCTGGTGCGAAGGCTTACGCCTGTAATCCCAGCACTTTGGGAGGCTGAGGCGGTTAGATCACAAGGTCAGGACTTTGAGACCAACCTGGCCAACATGGTTAAACCCATCTCTACTAAAAATACAAACATAAGGTGGCATGTGCCTGTAATAACAGCTACTCAGGAGGCTGAGGCAGGAGAATTGCTCAAACCCAGGAAGTGGAGGTTGCCCTGAGCTGAGATCGTGCCACTGCACTCCAGCCTGGGTGACAGTGCAAGACTCCATCTCAAAAAAAAAAAAAAGTTCCAAAGTAGGAGGAGGGATGGACTTGGCTTCTCCTGGGATATGGCAAGCATGGACAGCAAGCCCTTTCTCAATCTCTGGGATGCCGAGAGGGTCAGGGCATTCCCCTGGCTTCCCCAAGCCCCTCACACCACCTGGAATTTCAGAGGATCAGAGGCAGAGGCCAGCGCTCATGCAGGGGAGAAGCAGGGAGAAACCTCCTGCTTCATGCAGTTGAAAGAGAGTCAAACGGGGGCGGGGGTTTGTTAGGAAAGTGTAATTACCCAGCCTGCCTGTTCCTAAAGCCTGGCACGAGGAGAATGGGACCATCTGGGATCCTGATGCTGTACAGCGGGGGCAGAGTTAGACTCAGGGCAACCGAAATCCTCTCCATGTGGCAGGAGCCTCCCTGAGCCTGGTCCAGACCTGGCCCAGCTCAGTCTGAGAGGTGGAATGGGTTCCGAGCACAGGTAGCACAGGGACTTGTAAGCTCTTCAGGAACAAGGGAGGAGTGGGCTTATGGGAAGGTGACATCAGGAGGAGGAGACAAGGTTCTAGATTCACTCTCCATTCTTCCCTGCCCTGCTCAGGGCCAAAGGAAGCTGCCCTCTGTAGATTTACTGTCCTGGTTCCTGGCCCTCAGCTTCCTGTTGGGTTTGGCCAATGGAAGACACTGGCAGGAGACCAGCTGATGGAATGAGAAAGAGGTCAGGGCTATCATGCCATACCCTCAGTCCCACTGCTGGGCCTGGGTATTGGCAGCGGCTGCCTTCCTCTGTAGAAGGCCACAGCTCCCATGGGGCCACAGCTCTCCCACAGCCACAGCTGTCACCAGGTTCTGGCAACACCACGCCCAGGT